CCAGCGGCCCGCGCCGGGCGAGCACGCGGTGGTAGTTGAGCAGCACGAAGGGCAGCTGCGCAGGCGCGCCCGGGGGCTCGGGGGCCGGCGGCGCACAACACTCGGGCGCCGCGCGGGCCAGCGCCAGCCGCGCCCCGTCCCGGGCGGCCTGGCGGGCGGCTTTGGCCGGGCCCAGCGCGGGCTCCTCGCGGTAGTGGCCGCAGCTCGGGAAGCTCGGTGGAGGCGGCGGCGGCGGCGGCGCGGTGTCCTCGCCGAACCTGCGCGCGGCGGCGGGCGCTGCGGGGACAGGCGACACGTTAGACGCCCGCGCGGAGGAGGAAGGGGACCTGCCCAAAGCAGCACCAACCCGGTGGGTCTGGCGCCGCCACCACCACCCCTCGGCCACCCGCGCGGCGCGCTCCGCCCACGCAGCCGCCTGGGCCCCCTGCCCACCGCGCCCAGGCCCGCGCGGTCCGGTGGCAAGCTGCAACCTGTAACCCGCGGCGCTCTGGTGGTCGCGTTCAAGAGCGGAGAGGAACAGGTGCAGTTCCCGGAAGCCGTTACTCAATGGAATGCCACATATCCAACAGGTCTTTCAGTGTGCAATCAGTACTTTTACATGATTGAGATGCCTGGTTCTTTGTTTCTGCCGTCCAGCTGCAGTGCACGGCCGGCAGCACCCCTCACTGCCCTGGCCACATTCCAGTGCGCAAGAGCCGCACGTGCCTACTGGCTACCATAGTGGACAGCGCTGGTCTAGAGGCTTCCACTGCCTGACGGGTAAGGTGGCCCCAGTCAACCCTGTTTCTTTTCTTTTTTTTTTTTCCTTTTGCTTAGTGGGGAGGGTGGGGTGGTAATCCCGCCTGCTCCTTTTAGTGCCGTCATAACTAAAGTTAATAACCACCCTCACCAATCAGGTGCCTGCAATCAATCAGCGCCCAATGGTTTTTTTGTTTTGTTTTGTTTTGTTTTACCTTAAGACAACCTTTGTCTTCCTTTAATATCAAAAAAGACTAGGAAGTAGATCACAAATTGCCCCCAAATTAGCACCTTTGGTCCATTTTTACCAAGTGTATGACAAATGAACTCCTTATTACCCTCTTTCACTTTCAAAATAGCAATTTAAAAAAAATATATAATACTGTGTGTTAGTTATATCACTGGCCAACAGCCACATGCTAAGAAAAAGAATTCTTTCAGGTCAATCTCAAGTGAATACTATTTTCAGCTGTTATCAGAATGCTTAGCTTTGTCTTTCTTATCGTCGGGGGAAATCCCTTGGTTATTTGAGTGATCCAGTAGCTGATGGTTCTCTCTCCAAATCTGAGAAACTGGTGGCATAAGGACTGGCCCAGGCCGGAAGGCAGGGCTGCACTGCCCTAGTCAGTGGCGTGTTCTTTTCTAAGCTGGCTACTTTTGAAAAACATGTCCCAGTAATCTCCAATACAGTTAGCTTTCTCCCACAGTCTATCCCTCTTCTCAGATTGAGAGACCCAAAATGGGTCTCAGCCTTGCAAAGTCTGAGCAAGAGACTCCCCAAGCAGCCCGAGGAGGAACAGAGCCTTACCTACCTCCAGAAAGAGAAAGTAGAGTGGGGAAGGAGGGGGCTCCGGAGAGCGCTCCTCTTTAGGCAGATGTTTCTTTTCTGAGCATGTAACATTTACCCCGAATGTAGTAGCCACTGCAGGAAATTTGCACCATCTTGGGCTACCCTCTGAGCAGTAGTTAGTTCTGCGCAAAACAGGAATATACCTCTTGCAGCTATCCCTCAACCCCCACCTACCCTCTGCCTGGGGGTTGGTCCAGTGAGCAACCAGGAGTCTGGGCCTGGGGAAGCTGGTGGCACATCCATGGAGGACATTTGCCTGTCTGCCACCAGGAAGAGCTGGGGGAGGGGCCATTCCTGTTTCCCTCTCATTGAACCAGCGGTGCTGGGCAGGCACCTACTGTGTGCCAAGCCCTGGGGTAGTAGGCATATCATATGGGTTATGATCCCATTTTACAGATGGAGAAACTGAGTCATGGAGTGCTTATGTTGTTTGCCCTGGGTTGGTGAGTGACATTTCTGTCTTTGAGCTCATGAATTTCCGCCACTGTTCTCCACACTTTGAAAACTGGCGTGGGAAGAAAACCAACAGCATCCCATACTCATTTCTGGGTGGAGTGGAAAAGTAATCTTGTAAAAGAAACGCGGCTGGAGCATTCTCAGTACCCGGGAGCTGGGTTTGAAAATCACTTTGTCTGGCAAACGAGGCCAGGGTTTCTGTGGAGGGTGGCTGACCCCCCCCCCAGGAGACATCCTCTGCCCTCTATCCTGTCACCGACGCCACGAGAGGCACACGGACTCAGTCATCCTGCTCGTCTCCCTCTTGCAATGCCACTTCCCATCAAGAGCAGGAAAGCGCAGGAATTCCTACTTATAAGCAGGAAAAGGAAAAGTTGGCCCAAAGTGTGAGGATCATTTTTCCATTTGCCACCCACCGCCACCACCGCCGCTGTTCACAGTCCTGCCCCCTCCCCTCGTGCAAACATGACCCACCTTCGTAGTTTGGCACGAGGCTCTGCCGAGCAGTGTTCACCGGCGGCTCGGAAAGGTTTTTAGCTGGAGACGGGCTGCTAGGCACTAGGGGGTTGGCGTAATGCCACTGGCATTCACCACTGGCTGGCAGGGTGCTCAGGAAAAAGCGTGCCACCTCACACGGGGATCCTTGGGGCTGCCCAAATTTGGCCGGCAACATTGGTTTTTTGCTGCTGAAGACGTGAGAGTCCAGAGGGAAGTGTCCATAATGGTAGGAGAAGGGCAGGCTGTAGGACGGGGCGTACAAAAGGTCACTGCTTTCTGAATGGAGCTGCTGTTCTGGGGGTGCCGGGGCGTTCGCCGGGGGGCTGGCTCTCCAGTTTCCCAGCTGGCTGCATTCCAGTTTGTCCATTTGGAACGAGCTGTATTGCTGTTTGGCAAAGAAGATGGATGAAGGGACCAGTGAGAAGCTGCCCTCCAGCCTCACCAGACCCCACCCTCTAGGTTTCAACCGCATCCCTGAGCTGGGCCTACCATGGCCACCACTGTGAGGTCCCACTGGGGACAGGTGCACAGCAAACAGTACCAAGTGACCCTCCCCCTGTGTGGAACGAGCTCTCCCCAGCCCAAGCTGACCACATACCAGATACACATAGGCACTTTCTCTTTCTGAGATGTTACAAACTACTTTTTTTATTTTAAAGGAAGGTTTTCATTAAAAAACAAATGCTATGGAAACACAATGCACTGTGCTCTAAGCCACATTAATGTGGATTCCAGCAAGCTGAGGCGCCTTCCTAACGTAGTCTTTTTTCCTAGACCCCACGAGTCCTCCCACACGTTAGCTTTGCGTGCCTCCAGGCTGTGTCTCGGCTGTGTGTGTGGGACATCCCCAGGGGACTCTGCCACACTGCACAGGGAAACTTCTGGGCCGGGAGACCCGCTCTGCAGTCAGAGGCTCGGCATTCCCGGACGGGCTGGGGGTCCTGAGCAGCCCCCCAGGCCAGGTGTCTGCTGCACCCTGCCCCAGCAGGTCCCGCGTGTTACCTGTAGGGGGTAAGGGTTTGTTCTCAGCTTTGTCTTCATCTTTGTATTTTTGGGTTTAGCTAATTTCCTAGTTTCTTGTGAGGTAGACAAGGCAGTCCTCCAGGAGTCCTGGCACTTGGACGTAGATACCTGGTCCAGGGACAGCTGCAGTTCCTTGTATTCGATATCCCTGAGAAGCAAGAGCAGGACAAGTCATGTCCAGCAGGCTGCCCCAGAAGAGCGGCTTCCTTGGCCCGCACCCCCGAGCGAGCGCATTCACAGAGCTCCAGCGCAGCGGCTCACTGAGGTTGGATGGGACAGGACTTGAGCAGAGGGCAGGCCACCCTCATGATAAAAGCCCCCCCACCCCCACCCCCGAAGGCTTGGGCAATGCTGAGTGAGGTCCGTGTTATCCGGCAGGAATAGCCGGGGGTGGGGGGTGTCATTGTAGCTCTCGCCCATCCTGTAGCTCCCAAACACGTTTCCCTGGGACACCATGGACCACAAGGAAGTGTGTCAGGGCAAAAGGAAAGGGCAGAAGCATTACTTACCAGTTTGGGTACCTGAGACTCAGCTGCTTCTCTAGTTAGCACCCAGGGAGGCGTGAGTGGGGGACCATCAAGGGTCCGGGAGCCTGGCTGCCAGCCCACCCCTTTTCCACAACAGGCGCCGGTTTCTGCCCTAAAGAGCTAACTCGGCATGGTCGTGTTCATGGTTGGAGGGGGGTGAGGAAGCTGCCCAAAGTACCAGCCCACACCTGTCTGCTTAGGAAGAATCATTAAGGGGCTAAAATGCTTTCTTCCCTACAGTTTTGCTAAAATCACCCTCTAGTTCTAAAAAAACAAAACCAAACCAAGAAACCAGGGACCTGGCAATCATTCTATGAAAGAACTGAGAGCCTAAATCCTTACTGCTTTAGAGCACACTTGAGGACCTTGTTCAGGGTGGGGCTGGGGGGCTGCAAGGGTATCAAGTTCAGGGCCAGAGCTGGGTGCAGGTAATTTCACATACAGTAGCCATGGTGGGTCCACAGTAATATATGGTCCCAGGGAGACTCATGTCCTCTTGTGCCTAATGGCCTTAAAAGTATGTGTAACTGAACTTGACCTTCTGGGATTCTAAAGGGGCCATTCATCATCATCTGCAACGGGCTATTCAGAAAGAGGGGGAAAATGCGAGATATCTCCTGTCCCACATGGCAGGAGCATGCAAGATGACCCTGATGTTTGTGGGCACAGAGAGCATAAATTTATATTCCTGATCCAGGATGTACATCGCCTGTGCAGCCTCTGCAAGATGGAGGGAGAGGACACCTCCCACCTGCCCCCTGCCCACCCCCCACACCCCGCAGCTGGTCTCTGTGATCTGATCTTCAGCTGTACCTGGGGCAGGGCTCCCTTTCTGGTGTTCCCCCCACTGCCTAGCACCTGGCTCTCTGTGCTGAGTACAGAAATAGTTTGGACCTTCCCAAACGAACAGATTGTTCAAATAAAAACAAAACAGGAGACAAATGAACAGTTTCGGAAAGAGAGAGAGAGGGAGAGATGGTGCTTGTGGGAGCGGGCTGATGAGGGACAGGGGAGGAGGAGAGAGCAAGGAAACAAATACGTCTGACTTACGTGAGGACATAATTGACACTCACGATGCAGTGTGGCCGGGACGAGCGGCTGTTGTGCACGACGGTGGCGTAGCTCTGCACCCACACCCAGCCGCCCAGCTTGGACAGCAGCCGGTAGTACTTGGTAGTGACCTGGCCCTTCACCAGCACTGCAAGCACAAGGTGACATGAATCCCGAGGGACAATTAGCAGGCCCTGCTTTGGGGACACTGCCCCCATGGATAACATACAGCCCTGGTTCTGGACCTTTTTGGGGTCAAGGACACCTCTGAGAACTTGACAAAGGAATGGGCTTTCTCCACAGGAAGGTGCATGCTTGCACACACACACGCACACGCAAGATTTTTGCCTACGATTTCAAGGGGTCCGAGGAGCAATCTCTCCCCTCCCCTGTCAAATCTAACAGTCACTGATTTCATTGGGAAAAACAATTAGTCCCCGTACAACATTTGCACCTGGCAGAGTGAAAAATTGGTTCTGCTTTTCAGTTTCCCAAATGCCACGATTATGTTATAATCCCCCAAACCCTTAATCTCCAAAACCCTTAATAGGCACCAGGGGGAGGGGGTGATGTAGTTATTTAAACAAAATAACAAGTACGTTCAACCAAGTGTCAAATTGTTGATACTTGCTGCTCTCCAGAACATGTGTGTATTCTCGGGGAGACTGCTATTCTGTTGCCTTTTATATTTTCTTCCCAGTAGCCCCACTTTTCCTCTGGCCTATTTCCTATGTTGCATATGTAGGAAAGAACTCTCTTGGCTAGTTTCTGAACATGGGCTGATGGGGCCATCTTCCATGCATGGGTGCAAACTCCAGAGTGCTGAGCCACGCTCACTTCCAAAGCCTCTGTACTGATTTCCTTCAGGGCCTGGAGGGCACAGGCTGGAGGGGAAGGAAAGTGCCAGAAGCTTTGGGTGGGCAGTGGAAAGGAGAAAGTCCCAGTTAGTCTTCTCCACGGAGGGGGAGGCCAGCACAAATCTAAAAGGCATCCCTTGATGCCCAGGTCATGGGTATTGGGCATTCCTGCTTTTCAAAGCAGGGCTGGGCCCAGGGCTGTAAGTAGCAGCCACCTGAGCAGGAATTTGGGGAGGTGGCCAAATTCTGTGCCTGCACTAATTGGCACTGAAGGAATCCCCTGGGGGCCCTCATCTTGTGCCACTAGGCAGAGCCCCCTCACCATCTGCCCAAACCCTCCTGGGGCTCTCCACTGCCTTTTGTGGCTTCTTTTTGTATTAAGGGTGCTTCTTTATCATCCACTTTAACACCTGCAGTAAAATATTCTGGTGCAGAAGAAAAATTACTGTAAATATGATAGTCAAAGAGCTACTAGCCTTAATATAGAAAGTGTTCATACAGATCAATGAAAACAGTAAGACCCTAAAAGTTATATGAGAAAAGGACCTGAACAAACAATTCACCAAAGAATATAAATGATAAATGTTCAATGTATTTGCTTAACTCAAAGCTAGATACCATCGTTAAATCAGACATTTAAAAAGAAAAAAAATATTGTATGGTTCCATTTATGTGAACTGTCCAGAATAGGCACATCTATAGAGACCAAAAGCAGATTAGTGGTTGACAGAAGCTGGGGGATGAGGAGGACCAGGAGTGACTGCTGATGGGTACCAGGGTTCTTCTTGGGATGAAGAAAGTGTTCTGGAATTCAGTAAAGGTGATAGTTACACGACATTGTAAACATACTGACAACCTCTGAAAATGGTTAAAATGGTGAGTCTTAGACTATGTGGATTGTATCTCAAAGAAAATAATGAAAAGACAACAGGTGATGTCAACTAATCTATTGTGGGAGGCACTGTCACGTGTTGATAGAAGCATGGGTTGGCACGGTCCTTCTGGGAAGCAGTTTGACGGCTCATACCCATTGACACACTGACTTCACTTCCAATAACTGATCCTATTATAAGCAGTCCTGCTTATAATTGTGGAGAAGAAGGAGGGGGAGACCTGACTGCCCAAGAATTAGGGAAGATGGTAAATAACTTTTAGAGTACTAGGCAGCTATTGGAATAATGATTAATAAGAATTTGTAATATGGGGAATGTGTATGATATAATGATAAATGAAAAAAAGACACATTCAAGACCACAGAAATACAGGGGCACCTGGGTGGCTCAGTCGTTAAGCGTCTGCCTTCGGCTCAGGACATGATCCCAGGGTCCTGGGATCGAGCCCCACATCAGGCTCCCTGCTCAGTGGGGAGTCTGCTTCTCCCTCTCCCACTGCCCCTGCTTGTATTCCCCTCTCTCGCTGTCTCTCTGTCAAATAAATAAAATAATAATTAAAAAAAAAAAGACCACAGAAATACAAAGATCATATGAGACTGCTATGAACAATTACATGCCAACAAATTGAACAACTTAGAAGAAACGGATAATTGGCTGGAAACATACAACCTATGAAGACTGAATGATGAAGAAACAGAAACGCTGAACAGGACTGGAGGGACTGTAAGGGGATTGAATCAGTGATCCAAACCTCCCAACAAACAGAAGTCCAGGACCAGATGGCTTCACTGGTGAATTCACCAAATGCTTAAAGAAGAATTAATACCAATCCTTTTCAAACTCTTCAGAAAATCAGAGGAGGAGGGAACACTTCCAAACACATTTATGAGGCCAGCATATCCCTGATACCAAAACCAGACAAGGATACCACAAAAAAAGGGGAAATTACAGGCCAATATCTCTGATGAACATAGATGCAAAAATCTTCAACAAAATATTAACAAACTGAATTCAACAATACATTAAAATGATCACACACCAAGATCAAATGGAATTTACTTCCAGGATGCAAGATGGTTCAATATCTGCAATCAGTCGAAAGGATACACCACATTAACAAGGTGAAGGATAAAAATAGATGCAGAAAAAGCATTTGACAAAATTCAACACCCATTTATGATAAAAAAAACCTCTCAACAAAGTGGGGATATAAATGTCCACTGTACATAATAAAGGCCATCTATGACAAGTACAAAGCTAACACCACACCTAACCAGGGAAAGCTGAAAGCTTTTCCTCTCAGATCAGGAACAAGTCGCGGATGCCCACTCTCATCACTTTTATTCAGCATAGAATCAGAAGTGCTAGCCAGAGCACTTAGGCAAGAAAAAATAAATAAAAGGATAGAAGGCAACCCAAAAGGAAAGAAAGAAGTAAAACTGTCACTATTTGCAGATGACACATTATATACAGAAAACACTAAAGACTCCATCAAAAAACTCGTAGAACTAATAAATGAATTGAGTAAAGTTGCAGGATATAAAATCAATATACAAAACTCTGTTGAGTTTCTACACATTAATAATGAGCTATCAGAAAGAGAAATTAAGAAAACAACCCCATTTACAAATTACATAAAATAGAATAAAATACCTAGGAATAAATTTAACTGAGAAGGTGAAAGACCTATACCCTAAAAACTACAAGACACTAATGAAAAAACTGAAGGAGACACAGATTAATGCAAAGATATCCCATGTTCATGGAGTGGAAGAATTCATATAAAATATCCATTCCACCCAGAGCAATCTACAGATTTAATGCAATCCCTATCAAAATTCCAGTGTCATCCTTCAAAAAAAACCAGAACAATGCTAAAATTTGTGTGGAACCCCCAAAATTCCTTAAAAGATGAAAAGCAAAAATAACAAGTGGTATTACATCTCAATAAAAAGTTTCTGCACAGCAAAGGAAACCATCAACAACATGAAAAGACAACCTACCGAATGGGAGAAAATATTTGCAAATCATATATCTGATAAGGGGTCAATATCCAAAATATGCAAAGAACTCCTACAACTCAGTAGTAAAAATAGATAAATAAATAAAACAGTCCAACTAAAAAAGGGGCAGAGGGTCTGAATTGACATTTTCCTAAAGAAGACATACAGATGGCCAACAGGTGCATGAGAAAGTTCACATCACTAATCAGGGAAATGCAGATCAGAATCACATGAGATACCACCTCACACCTGTTAGAATGACTACTATCAAAAAGACATGACAAGTGTTGGCAAGGATATAGGGAAAAGGGAACCCCTGTGCCCTATCAGTAGGAATGTAGATTGGTGCAGCCTCTATGGAAAGCAGTAAGGAGGTTCCTCAAAAAATTTAAGACAGAACTACCATATGATCCAGAAATTCCACTTCTGGGTAATTTCTCTGAAGGAAACGAAAACACTAACTCAAAAGGATATGTGGTCCCCCATGTTCATTATAACATTATTTACAAAAGCCAAAAAATGAAGGCACACTGAGTGGTGTCCATCCATGGATGAATGGATAAAGAAATTGTGGTACACACACACACACACACACACACACAGGAATACTGTTCAGCCATAAAAAAGGAAGGAAATCCTGCCACTGGGACAACATGGATGGACCTTGAGGGCATTACGCTCAGTGAGGTAAGTCAAAGACAAATACCATGTCACCTCACTTACATGTGCAATCTAAAAATAAAAGTTGATAGATACAGAGAACAGATTTGTGGTTGCCAAAGGTGAGGCGTGACAGGTGGGTGAAATGGGTAAAAGGGGTCAAGAGGTACAAACTTCCAGTTATGAAATTAATAAGTCTTGGATGGGCGCCTGGGTGGCTCAGTCAGTTAAGCATCTGACTTCAGCTCAGGTCCTAATCTCAGGGTCCTGGGATGGAGCCCCGAGTGTCGAGTGTCAGGCTCTGTGCTCAGCGGAGAGTCTGCTTCTCCCTCTGCCCCTCCCCCAACTTGTGCTCTTGCTCTCTCTCAAATAAAATCTTTTGAAAAAATAAAGTAAATAAGTCCTGGACTTGTAATGTCCAGCATGGGGACTTTAGTTAATACACTGAAAATACACTGAAAGTTGCTATGGGAGTAGATCTTAAAAGCTCTCAAGACAAGAAAAAAAAATTTACTAACTCTGTATTGTAATGGATGTTAACTAGACTTATTGTGGTCATGTAGCAATACATTCAAATGTCAAATCATTATGTTGTACACCTGAAACTAATATAATGTTACATGTCAATTATGTCTCATTAGAAAAAGAGACACGATTCAGAAGTGCGTAGAGTACAGGTAGGAAAAAGTGCATGCACATGCGTGCACACACATATACACCCCAGCTAACTGCGTG